GGTGCGGGCATCGCCATAGTCCTCATCGCCATCCTCATCTTCTTCATTTTGCGAAGGATCAAACTTCGAAGTCAGTAAATGCTGCAATGCTTTTCTCACCGTGCACTAACAACGTGAAATGATAGACATGACAACACATGTATATCTGTTGTAATTTGTCATTTGTCTTATTCCACAGACCTAGAAGCTCAGGAGGCACCGAAATACCGTTTTCGCAAAAGGGACAAAGTCATGTTCTATGGACGAAAGATCATGCGTAAAGTGTGTGGCTGAAAATGATGTCATTCCTCTGCCTTTCCATGTAATGCCACAATTATAACCAATGTGTTTCCCAACAGGTATCCCAGTCTACCTCTTCCCTGGTGGGTACGTCATCCTCCTCTCGTCCACGCCTAAAGAAGAAGCAGAAGATGCTTAACATTGCCAAAAAGTACATAAAAGATCTCGTTCTCACCATCTTCTGTAGGTGTCTTGAACAGCCAGTTTCTCTCACCTTCCCATTATTTTTGTCTTGTGTAGAATCCTGCGCTTTAAGAAGGAGGTGCCCACCCTTCAGGCAAAGGAGCCCCCTCCCTCAGTGCTTGAGGCAGACCTCACCGAATTTGATGTGGCCAACTCCCACCTCCCCTCTGAGGTGCTCTACATGCTCAAAAATGTCCGGTAGGTTTGTCCTCTGTGAGATGTCTATGTAACTGTGACAGTGTGGCTCAAATGTGTCTGTACATTACTGCTTTGATTTGTATGAGCAATAAAATACTGAAGCATGAGAACTGCTCCTACAGACATAAGTGTTGTCAAGTGGCTGCATAGCTATGCTCGTAATCAGATTTTACAAAAAGTCCCAGATTTCTTACCCCATCAGATTAACTGTGCCATGCTCGTTTGTACAAACCAACTATGCACACACCTGCTCACAGGTGTGTGTCCACCTCCTAACCCCCTAACCTGACTTCTTTCCTTCACCGCAGTGTGCTGGGTCACTTTGAGAAGCCCCTCTTCCTGGAGCTGTGCAAACACATGGTGTTTCTGCAGTTCCAACAAGGGGAGTACGTCTTCAGGCCGGGCCAACCTGACAGCAGCATCTATGTGGTTCAGGATGGAAAATTAGAACTGTGCCTTACTGAAACGGTACGCAAGCTCAAGTGTGGTAACGTATGGCCATTTATCCTATTTATAGGGGAATTTTATGTATGTGGAGCGAATCTTTTGAGGTGCTTAAATGATTTATCTTCTGTAAAACTAGTGTACATTGTTGTATTGCCATATTCTTGCGTTTTAGGATGGCAAAGAAAGTGTGGTGAAGGAGGTTTACCCAGGAGACAGTGTGCACAGCCTCCTCAGCATCCTGGATGTCATCACAGTAAGTCACACCAACCTTTTGCCAAACACAGGCTTCACCCATTGCACATGCATACACATAATTCACACATTCTCGATTTGAAGTGCAGTCCGAGATGTCAGTCACTTTAGAGCTTCTGTAAATAGAATCACAAAATGTGAAATGTCTTGAGGTTTTCTGTGTAATTTCTGTTTTCCAGGGCCACCAGAGGCCTTACAGAACGGTGTCGGCACGGGCTGCAGAGGTTTCCACTGTTCTCCGTTTACCTGTAGAGGCCTTCCTTTCTATATTTGAGAAGTACCCTGAGAGCCTGGTGCGAGTAGTACAGGTGAGTTATGTGTGGATGAATCTCTAGACTCTGTATTTTATTTTCCCATATTTATTCCAGTATTAAGCTTAGTATATAAAGCCTAATTCAAACACACACACACATACAGTGTGTATTTGTGGGTTTTGTTTTCCTTTACTGTAGGCTAGAAATGTAGAGTCTCATTAACCTGAAGTGGTTTTGATCAAGTCTTCTGTCATTTTGCATGTGATCTGTTAAATGGCTCACTTCCTGTTGTATCCTTTCAGATTATCATGGTTCGTCTACAAAGGGTAACAGTCCTAGCCCTGCATAATTATCTGGGGCTCACCAATGAGCTCTTCAGTCATGTGAGTTTATCACACGGATACACACATGCAGACATCAGTGGCTCATGTGGTTTGGCGTTTCTCATAGACTCAGCATCATTAACTCAGTACACATACTGGTTTTATTATGAAGTCAGTCACTGAATGTGACTGAATTTGTCTCATGTTCTGCTCTCCCACCACATATACAAACAAACACACGTTATCCACGTACCACTCACACTTGTTCTATAGGAAATGCAACCCTCACGCGTGCCACCTCAGTCACCGCACCCTACTCGCACTAGTCCCATCCGCCACGGCAAGCGGTTTGGCAGCCTGACGGTGCCCGAGGAGTATCGGGAAGCTGCCGTTAAGGGTGAAGTTACAGGTAGGGGAAAGATCTAGAAAGACTCTGTTAGTTGTAAATATTAACTCCTCGAAACGATACTGAAGTTATTGTTGAAGGTTCATTTAAAACTTGATAAATGCTGCACATTTGATGTATTTACAGGAGAACAGGGGAAGGATGGAGCAACGGTTCCAACTCTCAGCAGGACCATCTCCATGCCTGTAGACATATCTGGTGAGGGACTTCTCTCCTGTTGTTGATTATGTGCTATTGTAAGAAAGTTCTTAGGACAAAATATCACTGAAATACATGAGAGGAAGTGTCAGGGTTGACTTTTCTTTTTTTTAAGATTATCTCACCCTGACATCACAAAAGGGTGCAGTACACATGCTATAAACTCAGCACTCAGTTCTTCTGATATCTTACTTATCTACAAGATATTACATGTGCCGTTCTTTTGGCAGCTCATATCAGTCATACTGGAAGCATTTTATTCAGTTTTTTTTTTTTTTTTACTAATCCACACTGTACCATTGCTTTTAGATGGAAACCTGTTTGGTTTTCATAAACCAGAAAAAAAAAACTGAGTAGATCATTGGTGAATTCTTTTTAATACATACTTACCATTTAAGATGAATTGTTGTCACTTAATCTGAGGTTTATCTGTGTAGGTATGCAGAAAAGTGTGAAGTCAGATTTTGACATGGCGTATGAACGGGGACGGATCTCTGCCTCTGCGGAGGACGGCAACACTCCCCCCACCTTTCCTCGGGTCAGTACGCCACAGACTCTGACACAGATGAGATAAGGTTGACTTTATTGATTCCTTGGCATAGACTTAGGTAATTGCAGCAAACACTTCAGTGACATTTGAGAACAAAAGCTCACCACAGGGCATGAACAACAAAGTAATTAAATAATAAAGTTGTTTCTACTTCTTGAGAACTGACAAAGAATTGCTACTTGAAATGAATCTGTGAACAAGGTAGAACAGTCTCTTTGTTTCATAGTCCTCACTGCATCATATTATTTATATTGTCCCAAATGAGTGTATTGGTTTTGAACATCTAAATGTGATGTTTATTGTTGAATATGGCCAACACGTGACTACATAATATGTATGATATTATCTGACGTTTTGCAGAAATAGTAGGCAGATACTGTATTTTTAACAGGAGGTAGTTCTGTTTTAGGTTGAGGGTCATCAGGCATTTCCTTGTATGTTTATAATTTCATTCTGTGTCCCAGGACCAGCGGGAGAGGAAGGTGACAGTAGATGAAGTTCCCTCAGGTATCTACCTGTATCCAGAGGAAGAGCTGGGAGCGGACAGTATTTTTACACCTGTATCCAGTCGGTATAGTACCTCTCTGTTTGAGGAAGCTCAGAAAGAGATTCTCAAACTCATGAGGATTGAGGTTTGTTTATACATTTTTTTTTGGATATCTGACTCCATGGGCAGTAAAACCCAGAGACAGTGTTAAGGAAAAGCCAATCCTCTTGTCAAATTCCCCAATATCAAAGACATGCATCTGCAGAACTGCAGATGCATGTCTTTGATATGCAGAATGGTGTTATCAAATGTGTCCATATTATCACATTAGCCTCTTGCTCATTTCACAGCTTAAGCAGTCAAACCACTGCAAGTGAAGCAGTGTATGTAAATATTCAGTGCAGTGCTGTCCCAGTTATGTTGTGGGACCAAATAGTAATGCACTGAGAAGTAATAACCGGCTAATTTTCGTCCTTTTGCATGAGTGAACACATTGTCATATAAGTCACCCTGGAGCATCTGCTGGCCAATTATGATTTCAAAAGCAGGTCAGTCAGTGGGCCCAGTCTTAAGGCGGAGGGAGGGAGTACTGCACCATCCAGCCGCAGTTTCCTAAATGCTGAGACATGAGCCTTTCCTCTGTGTGTGGTAATATATTTTACACAAGAGGTACTAGAATATGCATGCTAAGTAAGGTTACAGAAACACTTCAAAATACCGAAGCAAACGGCAAACCAGAGTTCAGCTGAAATGGACACTACTGTTGTGGTAACAAACAATAAACCTGCAACTCTATGCTACATCTCTGGTACGAAGTTTTATACATGCTTTGGATACAGTATGTGCTAAACCCTCTCTCTTATTGCCACAGTTAGTCTTTCAAAATAATATGTCGCCATAACAAGGTCGGAGAGCGACAGATGAAATAAATGTTGCTGAATTCCCCCCCCCCCTCATCTAAAGCTGAACAAAGGAGAATGAAGAAATTTCACCCACATTGTTCCTCCACTTTGCTTCACTGTTTTATCACAGCTTGATTTGTGCTTTTGGCTTTGTCTGTTTTCTGTAAACCAGGACCCGTCCTTGTTAAATGACAGGGTGACTCTGCGCTATGCCAAAGCTGGAGCCGTCTTAGCCAGACAGGGAGACCAGGTATTTAACACGAGACATACTGGATCCCTTTCTGGAAACTGAAAAAGGACTCAACTGTCTCCCTTTATTTTAGTATACTAGTAACAAGTACTTGTATTATTGATGCACCAGTGCCACTTTTTTCAGAGCAACTACAAGTACTTACATTTGAGTACTCACCCATAGTGAGGCCGATACAATAATGCAGTGTTTCCATTATAAAAATTAGAATTACCATAAAGTGCAGTGAGTTTAGAGATTTGTTTTCATGAGATTTACGTTCTGGTTGTGATTAAATAAAATATATAACAGGAGGCTGCTCAGATGACCTTCAAATGTTTTGTGACAATCAACACTGCCATCATTCCCACTGAATATAATGTGTAACTAATGTCTGTAGCCTACTACACAACATTTGCAGTGTGACCCTCTGATTATGATAAAATGATTTTACGACACCTCCTGCTCGGAATGCCAGATTATGTTTAGGAGCACATATCACAGTCGGAAATTTAAATTCTTAATTTAACGAGAGTGCCTGCTCTTAAATTAAACTGGCTACTGTCTGTGGCACTATCCGTTCTTCTCTGCTGGACACATTTTCATACACAGAGCTCATTAGTCTCGCTGTTCATTACATAATATAAGCCCTTGTTTCCTTCTCATTCATAACAATTCACTACAGTTAGCATAACAGGCACTGTGTGGGTTTAGTGGATGAACAGGACCGAGCATTCAGACATTTCTGCATGTTTGTTGTTGTTCTGGTCGTTCAACAGGTTTGATTATGTACTTTCTCTGTTACTGTTGGGTTTTATCGCACATATTGAGCATTGACATCTCTGTAAAACACTTAGTACTGTATCTCGTCGTCTTGTCCGCTGCGTCTATAAGGCCATCTCACTCCCTGGCTCAGACACAGAGCAGAGAAGCAGAGCTCACAGTCAGCGTTAACTTTTGTCATCGTCACTTATATAAATATCCTCGAAACTCTGAAATTTTGTGAGTTTAATATAATGTTTCTGATAAATGGTACGGGTGCGTCATACCAGACAACTTTTATCAGTATGAGTTCAAGTACTAGAGGGTGGTACTGGACCCCATCCTGGTATTGGTGTATCCCTAGTCAGTGTAGTAATAAAACACACTATATCAATTGAGTGCAACCAAAAATTGTGTGTCAGAATATTACAACAAATACAGCTGTCCTTCCTTGTTTCTGCTTTTTCTATCTCTTCCTCTTTTCACTTCTTAAGGACGTGAGTCTGCACTTTGTCCTGTCTGGTTGTCTGCATGTCTACCAGCGCATGATCAACAAACAGGAGGAAGTCTGCCTGTTTGTGATCCACCCGGGGGAGATGGTGGGCCAGCTCGCTGTACTCACAGGAGAGCCCCTCATCTTCACCATCAAGGCTGTCCGAGACTGTACTTACCTCAAGATCTCAAAGTCGGATTTTTATGAGTGAGTCTTTCATTTCAGTGTGACTCTGAGCAAACACTACTGTGCATTGTGGGAATCTTCCAGCTTTGCCATAACCATTCATTTTGACCATATTTAGGAGCAGTGTAAGTCAGTGTTTCTAATGATTGTGGCCATTCTGTGTGCTGCCTGCTGCAGGATCATGAGGGAGCAGCCCAGTGTAGTGCTGAGCGCGGCCCACACCGTAGCCATCCGCATGTCCCCTTTTGTCAGGCAGATGGACTTTGCTATAGACTGGATAGCTGTTGAGGCTGGCAGAGCACTCTACAGGTATTTAACTTCAACAGTAGTTTGCATTTTGCAAACTACACTTTGGTTTGGTGAAGCATCACAATCTTAAGTTACTCTGTCCATTTTTAGATTGTATGTATAATGTGATGTCGGTGTTTTGCTCTTCGTACCTACAGACAAGAAGACCAGTCAGACTGCACCTACATCATTTTAAATGGTCGTCTGCGCTCAGTCATCCGCAAGGCAAATGGCAAGAAAGAACTAGTTGGGGAATATGGCAGAGGAGACCTCATTGGAGTGGTGAGAACAAGGCTCTCTGCTCTCTAGTCATTGTCTCATTAAACGTGTGAAAGAGTCGTCAGTTATCACAATGAAATGGAGCTGAATATGATGCCTGATCAGATACTATTGCAAGTATTGCAGCTATTGTTTCAGAGCGGTACTAATGCAGTATGAAGGGACATGCAGATCCAGACAGTTTCTTTCTTTTTTTTTTATTGTACTAAATTAGTTGAAAGAGAAATGTATTGGTATTTCATAAATCTTTGCACAGCAGTGATTGATACCTTGCTCTCATTGTTCTTTTGAAACTCGCGCGTACTGTCATGTGCTTTAGGTGGAGGCCTTGACCAAACAGCCAAGAGCCACCACTGTCCATGCTGTGAGAGACACCGAGCTGGTGAAACTACCTGAAGGAACACTCAACAACATCAAAAGACGGTATCCCCAGGTCAGTGACGTCACCTGATTACTTACAGTAAAATGTACTGTAGTGCGAATGTAGTCTGCGTCTTGTGTTGTGAACAGATGACATAATACCGGTGCTTGATGTCTGCGTTCAGGTGGTGACAAGGTTGATCCACTTGTTAGGCCAAAAGATTCTGGGTAACCTGCAGCAGGGTCGTGGGCCGTTCTCAGGTGAGATAATGACGAGAAGTGTTTTATCTGTTCATGAACTCCATTACCAGTTCTTTGTTAACCCAGTCTCATGCACTTCTCACATTCTCCGTTCACTCACTGGTTTGGTCTTCCAGGTTCAGCCCTGAGTCTTCCCAGTGTGACGACTAGCGCTGATGTAACCAACCCTGCCAGCAACCTCTCTACGGTGGCTGTGCTGCCCATATGTGATGAAGTGCCGATCAACGCGTTCAACCTGGAGCTCAGCCATGCCCTCAGTGCCATTGGTAGGCCCACACATATTTCATTTAGCTCCTGAATGTACCAGACATATGCAGTACTGCATGGCATGGTATTAGGGTTGCAGCAGTATACCATGATATGAAAATTGATGGTTATCATACCACGCACATTTGCTTATTATCAATATTGAAGAAAAAACGCAGTACTGTGCACCTTTTTTCCCCGACTGCCTGTCAGACTCTGCAACAGGCACCAGGTGCACACATGAGGTGGACAAATGGTAGAGATAGAGGCTGAAATCATCCATCCACCAGAAAAGAAATTGAAATCAGCAGCACAGGATTACTTTGGATATTTCAAAAACTATCCCTCCGTGCAGTTCAAAGTATATGTCCTGTTTATTACTTTAATCCCAAACAATAAAATGTGAGTGTATACATGTCAGTCATAAAATGTGCAATCAAAATAATTTTCCATCCAGTCTGATTTCTGACTAAAAGGATTCACACTGATCCGGATTCACACTCTGGAAACGCTATCTCAAATAGTTGCATTTTGATACTAGTTCAGCAGAGCTCCACCTTAACTACAACAGTAAAATCCTGCTTTTATATCAACACATGAGTGACAGGCTGTTAATGTGATGATATATAATAGTAGGATAGATAATTTAGCATTTTTCTGCACTGAGTAGCCTTCGTTCTTCTTTTAATACTTTATCACATTTTTGTGATACTTACTTTTACTTAAGTCAAGGATGTAAATTCTTCCTCTACTACTGGCGCTAAACTAACATGCTTTATGTATATGCTTATTTTTTTCTTGTTTAAATCATTTTTCTAATTGTTTATTTTTCTAGCTCTGCAGTCCAGCTCAGTCAGCTGTCACAGTCACTTTTAATTAAGAAAAACCCTCTGTTTTCATTCCTTTGAGGTTCGTTGTGTTGTAATATTGTACACCGTGAAACTGTGAGACGGTTATCATACCATGGAAATCTCATACTGTTGCAACCCTACATGGTACTAAGTTAGTTAGATCCATGTCATGCAGTATCTTAGTTTAGAATACATGTGGAAGTTGTTTTTGTTTGTTTTGTACGATTGCCACTTGCAGGGCCCACGCTGCTCTTAACTAGTGACATCATCCGAGAGCGACTGGGTGCTTCTGCTTTGGACAGGTCAGTTTTACAGTTCTATCAGTAACTCAACTGTCAGCTTTCCAGCTGTAACTGTTTTTCAGTATTTTCTATATTGGTTTTTTCACATTTAAGTTTGCCTGTATTATTGCTGTCATTTCTGTTAACTGTTTATTATTCATTCATACTTTCATCACAGTTTGTTTTTCTTTCCTGGTACATATTATTGGGCTTTCCATCCTTCTGTCATTGTGTCTGTGTAGGTGACTTAAAAGCCTGTTCTGCATCCTCATTTCTGCTTTCCTCCCTCCATCAGTATCCATGAGTACCGTCTGTCTGGCTGGCTAGCCCAGCAGGAGGACATCAATCGGATTGTCCTATACCAGACTGACAACAACATGACCCCGTGGACTCAGCGCTGCATCCGCCAGGCTGACTGCATCCTCATTGTTGGCCTCGGGGACCAGGAGCCTACTCTGGGGCAGGTGTGCATGTCTTTTTATATCATTGTTTGGTATCTAGTTGTAATGGTTAACACTATGTCAGTGAGTATTCTCACAAAAATAGCTGTACAGAGAAACCCTAAAGTAGCACGGGTCCTTTGTTTCTGGTCCATTCTTGTTCTCCAGCTGGAGCAGATGCTAGAGAACACAGCGGTACGGGCTCTGAAGCAGCTGGTCCTTCTACACAGAGAAGACGGGCCAGACCCCTCCAGGACAGTTGAGTGGCTCAACATGCGTAGCTGGTGTTCCGGGCATCTGCACCTCAAGTGTCCCCGCAGGGTCTTCTCCAGACGCAGCCCCACTAAACTGGTACAGAGCAAACTGTCCTGTCATTTTTAACTGTTATTTTCATGAAATTGTAATTCCTTATTGTTGACTATGTGGTATTGCATGTATGTAGTAGTAGTAGTAGTAGTAGTAGTACTACATATATACTGTATTATGGCATGCTATACTAGACAGAAGCTGGTGACCTAGTGGACAATGAAATGAACACCCCCTTCATAACTGAAAACTGAGAACACAGTCATGAAATGATGGTCTGGTAAAACATTGTTGCTTTTATATGGAAAGATGTGCAGTAACACTGGACTTGTGTTTCTCACTGTTGACAGTATGTTGATAGTTTTACTGTATTTTCTGTGTTTGTGCAGAGGGAGGTATATGAGAAGGTGTTTGAGAAAACAGCAGACAGGCACAGTGATTTTTCTCGGCTGGCCCGAGTCCTGACTGGAAATAGCATCGCTCTGGTGCTGGGAGGAGGCGGAGCCAGGTGAACACAGTTTTCTGCATCAATAGTAGCTATACACACATGTCCATCGTTATGAAATGTATTACCGATGCAGCCTACACACCTAACATGAGTCATGTAATGACTCAGCAGGCCTACACGCCCCTTCAGTTTTTCATTATGTAAGGTAATGCAGAGCAGAACTTTGAACATGAAGATGAAACACCTGTTTTATCAGCTACAGTCATGGTCAAAAATATTGGCACTCCTGCATTTCTGTCACATAATGCATCACTTCTCCCCGAAGGTTGTTGCAATCACAGATTCTTTGGTGGTGTGTTATCTGACAGAAAGGCAGGGGTGCCAATATTTTTGGCCATAACTATGAGTATATAATTTCTTCTCTTTTTAAATTGTGTATGTTTTTGCCCAATCTAAATTCTGCTGGTGATGATGTACTCTCTAATAGCAGTCAGTACCAGATGCAGCTTGTAAGTAATTACTCAGCTGTAATTAATTTATGGGTTTGTTTTTTACAGCATAACTTGAAAAGTAATCAGTGAATTTGGATGAATTCTTGTGGAGAGTTAGGGTATGGCCCAAGGAAAGGATTAGATCTTGGTGGTGATCCGGATCATCATCTGGATCCAGGAATTTTTTTTTTTTTGTGGTTCTTCACCATTCATTGTTCTCAGTCACAGAGCATGAACATGGCGGCTAACACTGGACACTTGATACAACTGCACCATGAGCCTTTTCATTTTCTAGTTGTGTTCTATACAGCGACTCATTAGTAGGAACGAAGGGATCCTAAGTGCTAGTTTTTTTTTCCATATTTGTGGCCAAATTTCACTGCCTGTTTTCTAAATCTACTGCACCAAAATAGAGAGCAAACAGCAATGGTCAAATGAGCTGGTGAGAATGAAGAGAGGGAGTGACCCTATCAAATCAAAGCAGTGAATCAGAGAAATAAAATGTTATTACCTCCGCCAAGGGCCCTGCACTCGGTCAGACAGACACACAACTCATATTGTGAGGGTCAGATTATCATGGGAGTATTGGTCTTCAAACTCTGAGTGATATTGAATGTGTCTGTTCTCCCTCGTACAGAGGCTGCTCTCATGTGGGTGTCATCAAAGCTATGGAGGAAGCAGGGATTCCAATTGACATAGTGGGTGGGACCTCAATAGGTTCATTCATTGGTGCACTCTACGCTGAGGAGAGGAGCGCTGTCAGAACCAAACAGAGAGCCAGGGAGTGGGCCAAGGTACAGTACACATCTGCATATACATCTGTTGGATCATTTTTGTCTTGCTTATATATCAAAGGTAACTGTTTCACTTTGTTCATAAAAAGTTTTTCATTTCCCCAGCAGCCTTCACTTCAGCTTCTTTCAAAGTATTTAAATGGAAACTCATGAGAAGCCAAAACCCATGTGTGATTCATTTTTAACTTTTAATAAAACAGTCTTGACCAGTTTCTGTTTTTATTGTTATTTTTTTAATAGGCCATGAACTCGGTATTTAAAACAGTCCTGGACCTTACCTATCCTGTCACCTCCATGTTCTCTGGCTCCGCCTTCAACACCAACATCTACAAGGTGTTCCAGGACAAGCAAGCTGAGGTGAGACGCTGTGGCACCAAATCATTTTTCAGAGAGAATGATCCACTGCAGTTCGCTTTGCCAGAAGAAGAGAGGGTTATGCTTTTGAATCATCCAGTTTATGATACTGAAATAATTTCTTTGCCCCAGGACCTGTGGCTGCCATATTTCAACGTGACCACTGACATCACGGCCTCAGCCATGCGTGTTCACCAGGACGGTGAGTGACAGCTGAGCTGACTGCAGGGGGCCACCACTCCTCTCTATCAGAATTCTGTATTGATAGGATAATTGTTTTAGACAAACCCAAAACAGTCCATTAATATATTATAGTAGTCTAGTTCAGTATATTTACCACAATCGTTATATATTCCGTTAGTGTGTAACATACTTGGCCAAATAAAGGTTGATTGTATTATTGCTGCACCACACATACACAGTAAAGGGCATGGGTAGCTGCACATGTCTTTCTCAACATCTAACACAACTCACTCCTGATGAGAGTGAGCATAATGTGTGAAATTGGCATTATCACAAATACACGGTTGAAAAGTAAACAGTCACTAATGTTTGCAGCAGTCAGATGTAAAATGGCACCATGACTGAAGTTATTACCCAAGTGAATACATTAGCATGTTTTTGCATACAGTCAACCCTTAGAAGTGACTTTAAGCACTTTGTTTCTTATACTTAATAAAGCAAGTCTCTAAATGTTATATTAGCAGACACAAGCCGAAGTGGTACACAACAGTGTAACTAGCTGACTGGACTGCATGGCTTCAGATTTATGGTTTAAGCCGGCAATGCTCCAAACTCCGCTGAAGCACTTAAGGTGACTCTGTGTTTGTATCCGGACAACTAGAGGACCTTTCTAGTCTTGCTGGAACAAAAAAAAAAAGTTTAAGTTCCTCATACGAGAAGTATAAATTACAAGAAGTAAAATTGAATGAATGTAGGTCTGAAACAGGAGGCTCAGAGAACGCTGTATGAAAACTGCAGCCATCTACATCACATTATGGAGGAACTGCCAGCGGGAAGACTATATTATGAATGGTGACATGACTGGGAAAGGTTTTAAGGCCTGCTTGTATACATTGCCATCAAAGACATATGCATGGCTTTGTTTTAGCCGCAAACCCGCTATTTGGCCTCCACTGATATGCCGGTTTCAGTCTTGTTTGGAGTACGCTGCAGTCTAGAGCTTAGAAGGAGGTTTTTTCTTTTTTTTAAATATGTACAAAAGAAAACACTGTGTAGATATTTGTATTATGTTTGCTGATACTTGCTAAATATGTTCAGTTTGACTTGCATTAAGAATGCACCATCCCTGGCTTTATCTCAAGTAGATCTCTGTAGTCTGAACCCTTCACCCTCCCCCCACCAACCCCACAAATTCATCTAGCTTTTAACTGAATCGGTGTAATCCTGCCTTGTAGTTCACAGAACTGTAACTCAAATTTAGACATCATTATTTTCATTGCAGTGTTTTGAATTATTATAATTAAGAGTACTTTCTTGATTTGTGGGGCTTGTGGGTTTGCAGGGAAACACTGAATGTCTATGTTTGCATCTTGGCTTGTGTATGAACTAACTGTTGGAGCAAAGCCTTTTCCTCTCTGTGCCATTGTTCCCATAAGCTGCTTCTTTTACCGCACTAGTTTCTTTCCTTTTGATTTATTTTTTTGGACTACCATCCTTCTTACTGTTCCTGTTTCTTGTTTTCCATTAAGTTCTTCTTTCTCCTTTATTCTCTCATTCTCTTCATATGCTAAATTAATCAAACTGAAGCATTTTCTTTTTTCACGTTTGTCTGCAAACCTCCCTAGATGATGTGGTAGATGTAGCCCTTATGTGAGGTCTTTCTGCAAACAGAGAAACATCACAGAGCTGCCCACCTGTAGGTCACTGTGTAGTTAAGATAACCCATGTAAGTCGCTGATTCCCCTCCTTTTGTCCATGTCAACATGTAGGATCCAGAACACTCCATGCTCTTTAATGACATCCCGTGTTCTCTCACTCCTTCACTTCTTTTTTGTGCTTCCTTTAGGTTTTGTTTTGTTTTTTTACCTGGTACACTTATGTCAAACATCATTTGCGTAGTGCTCTTCTGAATTTGCCACTTTGGTTCCAGCAATTGAAAGAAGAGTGTTATCGCATGCCTTTTTGGTGGCTGTACAGGTACAAAGTGTCATTGGTTTGCTTACATTCTATGGTTTCATTCAGTGAGAAAAACTATCAAGAGTGAGATCTGAACCTTTTTTCTAAAAGCGTGTTGAGTTTCACTTATAGTTTTCTCCTCATTCAGCAGTTTGCAGAATTTAGTGTAAAGCTGAGCAGCAGTTTTTAAAGCGCTGAGCTCTGTCTCTCTCTCTCACTCTGCTTGTCTTCCTTCCACCTTGCTTGTTGAGCCAGTTATCTAACAGTTCTAATTCCATTTTTGATACTCTTAACTCATCAAATAAACCCTGCATCACAGTTTTATGTTATGAAGCAAATTTACACACATCTGATCTCATTCATTCAGTGTTATTATTATTTATATCAGTGTTTTATTTAGCTTAAATTGTATTGCTTAATCATGGTTAATTTTATAAAGTCCATAGTTTGGTAGCTTGTCATTGTTGTGAACTCAGCTCTGTACATCTCTTTAATTATCCTCTTTAGTTGAGTTTAATTGGCAGTGGTCTTAGAGTAGGCTTGTGAATGAAATTAAATGAAAATGAACCAATTGGGTAGAAACTGTAGGCAGCTTTGTCGACACTGTCTTGCTCTTGGCAGTGTCTTGCACTCTCTTCTTCTCTTGTTGCGGGCATTTCTTCCTTTCGCCCTCTTTTTTTTTTCTTCTGTGTTTCTTATTTACCGTATTTGTTTCTTCCTCTGTTGTTCTTGCTCTCTTATTCCATCTGTGACACGAAGTCCGATCCATATTTGACGTGATCCTCCTTCTCCATCTCCATTCTCTGACAGGTTGCGTCTGGCGCTATGTTAGAGCCAGTGCCTCCTACACCCCCTATTTACCTCCCCTGTGCGACCCCAAGGATGGCCACTTGCTTGTGGATGGTTGCTATGTTAACAATGTCCCAGGTCAGATTTTAAACACCCGCTCACCAAAACCCCCTCCCTCACCACTAAGTCGTCAGTCAACCACTTGGCTACCCTCCTCCTCTTTCTTGTCCTCTCCGCCCCAAGTTCTCACTCATAACTAACCCCGCCCTGACCAGGTGGACGTTGGGAGCCCATGGTTTGGAAGGAAAGACTAAAATGATACATATTTTAGGGTTGATCCAATTCCTCAGATTTACTGAATATTGACCAGTAGCACATTTATTCTATTCTATCCTATTGGTTTTGTTATTCACAGACAGAGCACGCTCTCGCCAGCTTGCTTGACCGCTGACTTTCACTTTCTTATTAGATGTGAGGCTTTGCCCACGCATGTCTGGACATATGTGAGTCATAAAAAGACCTTTTTGAGGCCTCTTGTATTCTAAGTTTTGGATGTGGCTTGTAAACGCATATCTTCGTGAACCTCTATGCTTGTTTACTCAGTACAGAAAGTGTGGTCGAAGTAGATCAGACCTGAGCTTGGATTTAACTGGATTTTCAGTAAGAGATCACTTGTGGAGAACAGACAGTACTGTGTGGTTTGGATGACATTTCTGCCTTCGGCAGATGGTACAGGGGTGCACCATTACATAATCATGTGTCCGTTGTTGTGGATCATTGTGTGTTTTGGTTTGGCCTACATGTTACTCTACTTTGAACCGAACTGCAGCTTGTCCTTGTGAAGTAGCTCGTTTCATTTCAGCCATCTCTTCTTACAGGAACGTGTTCAGTCTCTCATATGCAGCTCCTCTCCCCTGGCTTTGCTTGCTTTTATGTGCATGCCAGCGTTTGATACCGTGAGCCTGTCTGCATAATGATGGCATGTATTACCTTTTTTATTTTTCTATTCTGATTTATTTTGATATGTGTGTTCTGGATCCTGCTGTTGCCCATTTTAGCACATGTGCAAACTGAAGTTACCACAACTCTGGAGTAAAGAAATGAGAAGCTGTAGGTGGTTGTAATTAATCTAAAATCATATTTCAGTAAGATAATTCTGCCAAATTTGCACCCCTTGCTTATCTCTGTGGTGCTCCTGTCCTTCCAACCCATGCAGCGCCCGGCCTGCTCCTGCCCCCTGCTGGCACTGACCTGTACTACAGGACTGAGCAGGCTTGGTGCGTCCCTGCTAAGTTCATGGTGAAATATATCCAAACACTGTCCCCCCACACCTGCTGCTGCTCCTTCTCATGACATCTTGACATTATATACTACAACTAAAGCTCTGTTTGTGATGATTATTAACATAGCATATACTGTATCTGTGGACTTCAGAAAATTCTCCTGAGCTTATGCTTCAGCATGCTGTTGTTGGGACATTGTTTGGAGAGTCAAGCAGCTTTGGTGCTCTGTGATGGTTGCCATTTACATTTTTACCTTCTGTACAAGTCACACACAGGTGCAAAGTGATGAGATTTGCAGTGGTGTACAACAGAGTGTAAAGGTGAGCAGAACCACACTCCCAGCCTTTGCAGGGATCAGCTACCTTCCTTTAGCCAGTCTCCCTCTGGTATTGGGATTGTGGTCTGTGCCATCGCTAACTTGAAACGTTTAGCAAACATTATTGAGATGTTCCCTCCTCCCTCCTTCCCTCCCTGGTGTGCCAGGCTCTCTGTGGCGCTATGTGCGGGCGAGCATGACCCTCTCAGGGTACCTGCCGCCTCTCTGTGACCCCAAAGATGGCAACTTGCTAATGGACGGTGGCTACATCAACAACCTGCCAGGCAAGTAGAGGCGGTACCCTTCCCTCCCTCCCCACCAACATATTGTACAATCGCCAATATCCTCCTAACTCCTGTACCACAGAGGAGGGAGGAAGGTGGAGTGAAGTATGAGGCTGTTTTTAAGAACGACTTTTAATCAGGTTTTTCTATAGGCTGTGTAAGTATACAGTTGTGAGCTTGTCCTAATACTGATGGAGGGAGGTCTGGTATTGGTGCTGAGTTTTCCCTGTCTGAGTAATGAGCTGATTCTGATCATTAATTAATCCATGTGGTGAGACCAGTTAAATCAATCAACCGAACACGGGAAAGAAATACTTTGAGAGAGCTGAGTGAAACCCTGAAATATTCTGTTTTGCTAGATGGAGAAAAATCAGCACTCTGAATAAAGAACACATTGGAAGTATTTATAAAAACCGAAAAGAAGAAATAAAGCACTGAATAGGGGGAATGTGGGATTTTTCTGTCAAACAGCCTGGTGTCAGAGAGAATACAAACTGGGAAGGGGTTTCCACCAGTATCAAATTTAATCTTTAACACTTACATGAACCTCACCTAACACCAAGCAAGTCAAAATTAAATTTTGTTTTCCTTTTTTAGCTCCTAAGAATTAGGAAACCAGAGTGCTGTACTTTTTGAGCCACAGGACACCAGTCTGTTTTGACATTAAAGTCTGATTCCCCTCTTGTTGAAATGAGCACTTGTATTATAGGGCTGGGCAATAATGTGACATTATCATTTATCTACATTCAGTGGAATTATATTTTTATAAAGTGATTATATCATGTCTTCAAATTTTTAAATTTCATTTTGTTTGACACCTGCTGTGTGAAGAGTTTGGCCTTGTGAAACCTAACAACTGAACACAGTTTACCGCTTTGGACTTTTTGGCTTTACATACATTTTCTGTACCTTTTTAATTAATTTTTTTGATAATATTTTCTGCCTTGTTGCCCAGCCCCACATTCCTCTCTAATATGCTTTTTAAATTAGTATTTGACTACATTTAAAGCAGATGGAAAAATTAGTGGAGCTTCTTTAGAAAGAAGAGAGGAGCTGTTTGTCTGCAGACTATTCAATATATCTCAACAGAAAATATTAGAAATTGGATCAGACCAAATGTACAGTAATGTTCGTGGCAGTAAAACGTAGGTAAGACAAACTATTTTTTGGCTTTAGTTGTGGTGTGCAGACAAAACCTCCCTTGAGTCTGTCTCTATGTAGCTATGATAAACTGTGTATTCTGTACTGATGAAACGCAGCCATATTTCACCAAGCTCTGGACTGAGCTATTCTGATTCTCTTATTTAGTGTGGGAATCATGTCTCATTATCTTCCTGGCAATGCACATTTCTGAGGTTTGTGAAATATGGTTTTTCGTGTGCCCAAAAAAAATCAATCTAACTATAGGGAGCCTTGTAAAACCAACATCCTTTGATTATGAAGGCTATTACTGCATTTATAATTGTCCTTGGCACACTGGATCAGTGCTTTGGGTTTGTGGGATGCCTTCCTTTTTCTGTTTTTGAATAGACAACACCACAAAACGCTCACTTCCCCAAGGCTCTTTAACACTAACAAGATAATAAGAAAGTTCATAACTCGAGTCACTGGGCTTGTTGGCCAGGAAAGGATACTTCTTTTTTATTTAAAATTCTAGTGTTTTCCAGTAATTGGTGGTAAATGCTCAGGAGTATGTCTGACTCCTAAAAAACCAATGTTTTCGTGGTGTAAGTCTGTTTGAACATTGTGTCTTCCAAAATGAAGGCCAAAGACACCGAGATGATCCTAAATCAAGATGAGTAGCACAGGACTGTCTTACCATGTCTGTCGTGCCGTGTTTGTCTGTCTGTGCATGTGTGTGAATGCTGGCGTGTACTTTATAAACATCCAACAGCGGACATCGCGAGGAACATGGGTGCCAGAACAGTCATTGCCATTGATGTGGGAAGCCAAGATGAGACTGACCTCTGTAACTATGGCGACTGCCTGTCTGGTTGGTGGTTGCTGTGGAAACGGCTCAATCCTTGGGCAGAGAAAGTAAAGGTACAGTATGGGTTGTCATCGCAGTACAAGGGTAACTAGTAGCGATGACTCCGCAGCTTAATATATGGAATACATGCATGTCTTTAATGCATGTGATTAACATGTAGCAGTGATGATTCAGCTGTTAAATCAGTAGATTCAGTAGCATTTCTTATGGTGTCTGTGGTCAGGTCTGGTAGCCTGTGGTCTAAATACAATTGTTAAACCACCCACTTGCGCAGGTGCCAGACATGGCAGAGATCCAGTCTCGGTTGGCCTATGTGTCTTGTGTGCGACAGTTAGAGCTGGTGAAGAAGAGTGCCTACTGCGAGTACATCAGACCGCCCATTGACCGCTTCAAGACCATGGACTTCGGCAAGTTCGACGAGATCTATGTGAGTTACCTCCTGAGTTTGGCCTGCTTTTACTTAATCAGGGGGAATTAATATGGGGAATCTGTGACCGTAAATTTAGGCTGTGTCCGAAATAAATAAAACAGCAGAATAGTTTTTAATAGCGAAGGTTTAAAATCCACCCCGGCAGTGCACTGAGATGCCATTAAAGGTTTTTTTTAAAATACTGTGATGATTTAAAAGGCATCTGATAACTGCTTGTAATGTGAGTAGGACATTTAAAAGCAGTAGTCATTTTACTGAAAAAAAATACAAAAATGCATTTTAATTGGCTTTACTGTGACATTTCTACTTACTTACTTACTAATTACCTTGTGTTTCTAATTTAAACTACACTGTGCCACAGGATGTGGGGTACCAGCACGGCAAGTTGTTGTTCACAGGCTGGGCCCGCGGTGACATCATTAAGAACATGCTGAAGGACCACCGTTCGGCCAACTACAACGACAGCAAGAGGACTGACGTGAGAAGAGCACATACATACACTCCACACCACAAACCATAAATGTGGTTAATGTATACATATATACAGTAAAGTCAGTATACTGTATTATAATAATAATAATAACTTGTCTTCTAGTCCTGCACATGTCCGGCTGCTCACTTCACTGACCTCGCAGAGATTGTATCCAGGATAGAGCCCGTCCACAGTTATGTAGCTACAGAAGGTGAAGGATCATTTCCTTATGTTGTGATTAAAATATTTCCCCTCATTATTTCAGACCATACTAAACTAGTTTTACACAGTGTAAATAAACAGTATCGTGTCTATAAGCACACAGCGTGCACACATTTCTTCCTCTTACACCTGATGTTTTGTTCCCCTTCAAGATCAATGGATTTAATCAGTGTAATAAAAAATGGTTACAGCTTTCACCTGGTCAGACTGAAGGGGATGTCCCTGATATTTTGTGGATGCTGTCTACACATAGAGGGTCAGTAACACAACGAATATTATATCTCCTCTAAATCTCTCCCATCAGCGGAGGAGTCAGACTGCCTGACAGAGTACGAGGAAGATGGGATGGATACGGTGAGAGAGGAGGGGGAAGAAGAGGAGGATGAGGCAGAGGACCCCGAGGACCACTCCCCTGGAGAGTGGGGACAAAATGGAGTCTTTCAGACTGTAAGCACGTGCAAAAACAAAAATATGGTATGTTTTACAACATCAATAATCAGGACCTATGAAAGACAGTGTCCTCTTTTAAATCCATTAAAAGGAACACACATACCTACCTCACCTGAAAGTCAGTGATCTTTGTTTGAAAAGGCCAAAATTTAACAAATTGACCTTCGTGGTTGTCCTTAAAAGCTACAGCATATTATGCCAACTTTAACGAACGGAGCTTTTATAAGGAGCGCTCCTGGCAGAACAGCTTTGTTAAGCACTGTTCCCTATCCATAAACACACACCTACTTGAGTGACTGAACATGAACGATCATTTACAGAGATGGCTCCTCAGATCTGATGGACTTGAGATGATCCGAGTTCAGAGCTCCCTAACACCTGACGGGTGCACACCGGCCACTGTGGCCATGTAACGCCAACAGATTTACAGGGCATCACGGCCAGATGCCAGGGCAACAATGATCATGCAAAATTTATACCCTGCATAAAACAAAGGTTGACAACATTAAAATACATTCTGAGCTCCAAGGTAAAAGGAAGTGTAATGATGGCGTTAGCATGTGACATGTACAGAGCACCAGAGGGCAAATGTTTCAGTCAGCAGGCATTTAAATGGCACCGAACTCTGTATTGTGATTCTGGTAGATGCCGATTGTACAGGAACCTTTAGGTTTCAGTTGTACTGAAGAGATGAAAACACTGTTTTCTTCTGTTTGGCAGGATGAGGAGAAATCTGTGAGACAACGCAGGAAACTCACCAGTGACTCCAACACCTCTGAAGTCTCCGACTCCTGACCGAGGGCCACGGTGGAGTGGAAGGACAAGAACAAGGGTCCGTAAATTGTGAACGTCGCACTCGGCTCCCGCAGCTTCTGAAACACTGGAATACTGTTTTTGTTTTTCTGAAAGGGGATCGCGGTTCATCCTATAAACTGCTGAGCCTTTTCTACATCAGGCGGCTTCCTTCTCGCTCTCCTACCCACTGATTATTTAAACATCAATCTAACCCATTGCCAGAGTCTCTGCCTGCCAATTGCAAATCCTGCCAAAACCGGGACTCCCCCACTACAACACAAAAAAACAGGGACACTTTAAACTTCTCATTCACCAAATTAAATCACCTGGATCTCTGAATGTTGAAGTATGTCTCTAATGTTGGTACAGCTTCATTACAATTCATCGTTGATGTTTTGCCTTATTACAAGCTTCATTCATTTCTTGTGTGCACATGTTCAGATGAGTGTGTTAGGATGACCGGTGCATACTGTATGTGCAAAGGTATGGTTTGTTTGAAATAGTAGCAGGACACTGCAAAGAGGACAAACTAATATATACAGTAGAACTGTAGGTACAGAGACCTGTGTTAGGTTTAGCATAGATGTCAAGTAGGGAGCATGATCAGGGAAGTTCCAGGAGGAATGGATGATCATGTGAACATAGATTATTATTTTTTTTAATTTATTTTTTGAATGAACAGAGGCTGGACCAATGTTTGAAGCAGGAGTGTTATGGGTTATTTTTAAAGAAACAGACATGGTAAAGAAGTAAGTGTAGACAAGAAAAGAAATGGGCAAGTGAGCAATGTGTTATTTTAGTTTATTTGAAATTCACGCGCAGTAGAGTAATGTGAGCGTCATAAGAAGGCAAGGCTTCTCTCCTTCCCCTGTAGGTGGACTACAGTGAAGAGAGGATGCAGAGAAAGTCTAATGGAAGTTTGGAACAAATGAGCTTTCAGTGAACGGTGACATGGTGTCTGCATACTTGAAATTTTCTGTTCCAGCTGTTTTGTTGGAAACGATGCCAGATAAAGATGACGCCTTTATGACCAGCCCTCGACCCACACACAGCGAGCAGCGGCTGTGGAGAAGAGGGTGATCATTGGACTAACTACACAACAGACCCATGTGTGGCCACTTCTGCTTGTGAGGTCACTCATGCACTACTCATTAACAGTTAGTTGATACTGACTGCCTGTAGAAACTGTAACAAGATTATAATATACATGAAGTTGATAGGCATATGTGTATATGAGGTGGAAATCTGTAAATTCATGCTTCGCTGCAAAACAGACTGGCTAGGGGTATTTTAATTAATTTGGCTTTAGCTGTTTTGCACTGAAACATTTCAGGTATTTCTTGCTCAGAAGATGTTTGGTTTAATAATTAACATCCACGTTGTGATGCTAAGGGAATCTAAAGAATAAAAAGGGGATAATTTGTTAAGCATATTGGAGAATAAATATACAGTAATATGCATCATGTTATGTGGCTTTTGATTTTTTTTTCCTCAATATTTTTAAGGCAAGTTTTGAGATTTGTTTAGACTGCAGTGTGTTTTGTCCTACAGCAGATGGAGGCAGCGCTTTTCTTTATTTTATCAGCTTCTACTTTGATTTATGGCTGTAAAGACACAGTAGGACTGATAATAAACTGGCATCCGCACAGTGGAGCCTGCATCATCTATAGAGGAATCAGAATGTTTGCATCATTAGGGGTTCTACACACATGTTGCTTATTTCAGGATTTGTGAGACATCTTCTAATAATGAACATCAAGGTGGCTACATAAACCTGCTGTCTGTTTTGTGTAATTAGAGATGAGAAGCTGCCATGGAAGCATTGCCAGCCTTGCTGGTCTGTCCAATTACCAGTAATCTAACTTAAAGTAAAAGTTTAATTGATTGTTTATGTAGAGTGAGCACTTTCAACCCAGGCCCTATTAAACTTTGATCCCATTTTATTACTTGTAAAACACACCTGCAGTCTAACATGAATTGAAAAATCTAAACACAAATGAAATAAAATGTATTGTTATATTCTACACATTTGTTTAATATCCAGACCTCTGACCCACAGGTTGGTCACTTGAGTGTCTGCAGGAGTGGGGACCCTCTGGCCCGCTGGCCATTCCCAGTATGCTCATGTTTTGCCTGGAGTGCTGGATGATAGAGCTGGGAGGACTCCTTGCTGGTGCGATTAGTGAGGCTGAGCTGGGAGCTCAGTTGATAATTTATCAGCTCTCTACTTTAGCGTGTATGGTAATTAAAAATGTTGATTCTCTTTGTGTGTATAGGCCATTGCTCCACTGAAATTACAGTGAAGGGAAGGTAGCTTTAATACACCTTTAGGTGTTATCTGTTCTTCACACAGCACCGTCTAGGATTCACTGCTCGGATTGGGAATCCTCTTGGTGCAGGAAACAGAGAGCAGGTCAAACTATAATGTAACCATCACCTGCACATGTAAGAGCCAATACATACGGTACATGCTGTGTGCATTACATCTACACAGTCTTTACCTCTTTGGTGGTGGAAGTATAGCAGGTTTTATATGTTTTTTTCAATAGCTTATTTTATGTTAAGTTGTATTTCATATTTTTATTTCATACTGTTACTTCATGTGAGTGGTGTTCTAAGAAAATGACATGCCCCCTACCCATGGATGTTTTAATACCATGCCCCTGCCTGTTGTTCGAGTCATTCTGAATCAACTGTTTGCTGCAGTAATTAAACACAGTACAGAGACACAGACGCTAACATTTTCTTTTATGTTTTAAGCTGTGTAAGACTCCATATGTAACTTAACTAGCTGGTTAACCAGGCTGTGCACTTGGTTATTTGCTCGGGATCAGGGTGAGGAGACCGTGTTAATATCCACAGCAGATGTTAGCTGGTCAAGAATGATCTCAGCTGCATTCTGACATCGTTCCTCAGAGAAAGACACAACTCTGATAGCTCACAAATTAGCTAGAGTGCTAGGTATAGGTAGCATAAATAGCCTTGTTAATTTAAGCCTTAAAAACTAAAAGGCTCAGTTAATGTATCAAACTACTATGTTTATTTGCAGCAGCACCCCCATGTGGTTGATTGACTTACTAACTTAAGTATTGTTGTTGCTCTAGCTAATAGGAACTAACTGGCTAAATTATGGGACATTAATTATTAGAGTCCTAAGAGTCAGGAACAGGCCGAAATAACTGGTTAGGGTAATGCTGTGACGTATGTTAAGCATCCTAAGACTTTAGGGTAAGGGCACAGATTAGTTCAGTTCTTATTTTCACTTCCACATTGATTTTAATATGTATTAAAACAAACTAGACTGCTTCTAATGTGAGGTATCTGTTGCCCAGTTTGTTCCATTTCAGTTAATATCACATGAGATGATGCATAAGGTGAGCAAATGTCTTCCAGTTTAAAGCAACATAAAACATTCCTTAGCCATGATGGTAGTCTGGAAAACCTTCAAGAAACAGAAGGTTTAATGTCTGTAAGTTTAGAAGATACACATCTTCCCATGGGAATGGAAAATAACATTTTTCCTGAGTGTGTGTTTTCAATATCTGATCAAATCTTAAACATATCAAACTTGGTACAACCCCAAATCAGAAAAAGTTGGGATGGTATGTAAAATCAAAATTAAAACTGAATATAATGATGTGTAAATATCTGTGCCCTGTATTACATTGAAAACAACACAGCAACACATTATTGTGATACCTCATCAATTTTATTCTTTGTTCAAAATAAATATACACTTAAATTCTGATGCTGCAACACGTTTCAAAAAAGGTTGGGACAGTAAAGTATTTATCACTGTGTGATGTTGCCGTTCTTTTTCACAACACTTAAAGGCATTTAGGGACTGAGGACACAAAGTGATTAAGTGTGTCAGGTGTCATTTTGTCCCATTCCTCCTGCAAACAAGTCTTAAGGTATGCAACAGTCGTTGTGCACCATTTATGTGACTCATTCTCTCCCTCTGCTGTTTTTTCCCCAGGTCCTTGTAGTGTTTAATTTCAGAGCGCCCACCAGAGGACGGTGTCTGCCCCCTCACCAGCCCTTTTAACCTGCTAGGCTGCTGCTAATCATCACCTGTGTTGACGGGTTAGAGATGACACACCTTTAATGCAGATTCTTACACTGTAGTCTGCAGTTATTTCCATTATCTGAAGCCATATTAATGATTTCCAGTGGTTTTGCTGTGGGACTGAGGAAATGGTACTTCCTGGCAAGCAGCTTTCCTTCCGTTACATACTGTATGGCCTTTGTGCATTACTAAGAGTTAATGTGACACAGTGTAGCTGACTTTTATCATTGTAAGTGGAGACACAATTGCGCCTCTGGGTTGCTCATACATGTACTAATAAAGATTTATAGTACTGATATACAGTATGCAATACTACTGGAAATCTAACAGACACTTATAGCAGTGGTCCTACACATTTAAGATACCACCCATTTCCATTTTTGGTAAGGAGGAAACTGCATTTTACTGGTTATACTGGCCTTTTAGAGATACTTAAAATGGTACCAAGGTACTAGATGGTTTATAATTTTAATAACCAGCATTGAAGACCCCATTTAACGCACATACCTGTTCTGTCCTCACTGTTGTCCATCCATCCATCCATTTTCTTCCGCTTATCCGAGGCCGGGTCGCGGGGGCAGCAGTCTAAGCAAAGATGCCCAGACCTCCCTCTCTCCAGACACTTCCTCCAGCTCCTCCGGGGGAATGCTGAGG